ATATCATCTTCCACTTACAGCAGGTCTTCAGCAGCACACCAGTGTGTGATAGATACTGAAAGCTAGGCTTGTCAGAGGTCAAAATTAGATCCTGAGAAGCAAGCAATGGGAAGCATGTCTGGCATGAGCTCTCAATCTCATATCAGCCTCTAGGAGGAGTGAGGCGGGAAGGGGGGAGGAGGTGGGGGTAGCTAGAAAAAAGGATGAGGTGGAGGTGAAAGAAAGCTAAGAGAAGTGCCAATATTTATTTCCCCTACTTATGGAAAAACTCACAGAAGTTGCAATTATGACAGCCAGCCCTCTCACTCATTTCCATTTCATTCATAAGCTTTTCTCCCTTGGACACAGAGCTGAGTGGCAAGATTATACCTATGGATCTATCCAGCTCCATTCCTGTATTTTTATTTACTGTTCTGTGATATCACATAGGAATACTTCAAGGATTATATTTAATCTTCTTATCAGCTGGTTTAAAGATAAGGCAAACATTATTTCCCTACATCCAGGAAAACACTACTGATTTGCATTGCTTCCACATATTACATTGCTTTGTCAGCTCTTTGGACTAAATGTAACTGATTAAATGAGCAAAAATCCACCTTTGCAGAGATGTACCATAACCAAATTGAATATTTCAGAATATTCAGGTATGTAGGCAGATGCACAACCAGAGAAAGCAGACAGTAAAGGTTTTAAGGAGTTTCATAGGACTAGATTGACCAATGCAGTAACTGCCTTATTTCTGCTCGTTTTGTATGCCAGCAGCGTTAGCCCACTCTAGAGGCTAACACTGCTGGCATACAAAAAAGAACATGAGGCAGAATAGCATACAGGCAACTGTAGTTATATGATAAAAACTATATTCCTAGAGAATCGAGGATATGGAAACTGATCCCACTCCAAAAAAAAAGAAAAAAAAAAAACCAACACAGAGGAAATCTGGTAGAGTCGCCTCAAATCTTAAGGATTTGCAACTATCCAGTGGGAGATTATCTATATTGCTCACTCAGTCCTCTCATAGGATGTTTTGCAATGCACTGGGAAAACAAAAAGCAGCAAGAAATCCTCCATCCAGTTCTGCTTTAAAGACAAATGGAAACATCACACGCCACAAAATGAGCCAAGAATGAAGCTTTCACTCACAAGATGTATAAAGTGATCAGTTGACGTGACATTAACTTCAGAGGAGGCCAAGTTAGCCAGTGGTGATTGTTTTCACAATCCGACACAGCCCAGCTAACTTGCATACTTTGTCAAATCAACAGGTGGCCCAAAGCATTTTACTGCAAGTGCTTATCTTTGTGTCTTGCCTGCAGAAGGGGAAACAGCATGCTGCACTGTCCCCCTGCTAGTCAGCTTGGTGTTTTTGAACTGGAAACATGCAACTAAAAGAATGCAATAAGTAAAGGTTTCCCTACATGCGTTTTTCTGATATTACCTTAACCTGATTTCAAAATAGAAAATTCAGTTAAAAATGGTAGTTTCATTCTGAAACAGACTTCGCATTTTGCATTGTTTCAGACTATCCAGCCTCTGAAACCTTGTCATATGTACACACCCTTCAAGCTTAGATGATCCACATCCACATGAGAGCAAAACTTGTAGAGCAATTCATAGATGTCCAGCAGTGACAGCTGCCAAACTAACAAGAAACATGAATGCCTGCTCTCCCTGTCCTCCTTCCTGGGCAGCATGTGCTCCGACTCAGAAGAAGCTTCCCCAGGAGTAAACCTGCACTGCAGGTTAACACATCTGCTAAGAGAAAAAGCACAACTACTTATTGGACCTCTTCAGTTCTGACAAAACAAATATACCAGGCTCTCATGCCACCCTCTCTGGTTTCAAACCACCGTAACACTGATGGTGCACGGCCACAGCAGCACAGCCTGCCTCTGTACCCAACCTCAGGCTGATCCTGAGCTGATTCTACATCCACAGGAGTTCCCAGTGGAGCTGAGAAAGCACCCACTAAAGTGTGGGCACCTCCCAGAGGAGAGGGAATGCTTTGCCACCCTCTACAATGGCCCTGCCAGGAGGAAATGCAGTGCAGGTGGAAACCAAAGGAAGGGGTAAGAACAGCAGGCAGTAACAATCACTACATAACGAATATTTTTATAGCAAAGGAAGTGACAATCAGTGTCTCACACTAGAACTTTCCAGTTAGAAACTAAGACAAGGCTTTTGTAGACTCCTGCTAACACAGGTATCCAGGAAACAACAGCAGTGATGAAAAAGCCGAATATCTTTAGATTGTAAGCAGCAAAACAAGGTTACAGACTTGGTCAGCAACCCTGCTGTGTTATTACAGAACGCTGCAAGCCATCAGATAGATCTCACGGAGTGATAAGACAAATTTACAAACCAATAACAGAAATGCAAGATAAGGAGTCAGAGAACGAGCTTTGCCAGCCATCTATTGCAACAGCAGCGTTGCACATAGGCTTTGGTTTCTCAGAAAGCACCATCCATGACAGCCCAAACAGCACCGAGCCACTGCATCTCAGCCAGCACCCTGCCACCAGCAGAACTTCAGTTCTGCCACCAGCATCCTCAGCAGCATATACAAAACCTTTCAAGAGAAATCAGCTCACCATCATCACACTGGCAACAAGCATTACACAGCCACTATCATCTTTGCATAGCTGTAGCCCTTCCATAAGGAAACTGACCATAGCGATCTAAATTTAATCAGTTGTATTTCTCAAAGCTAACTTCAGAAGCTCAACTTTCCATCGATTCTTACCATAAGCCACAATTTTGAAGACATGAAATAATACTGTTACAAACATGTCAACACATATAGATGCTACACATAACTTCTGCTAGAAATATCCTGCCATGCTGTATGCCTTCAGGGAAAATGTTTTTGCTGTCCATTCTCTCCAGTTGTTATTATGTTGAGGCAGATTTCAAGGAAAGAATTCTCCTCCTCAATGCTTTCAATCTGCCAGGTGTAACTTCAGGATTAAGGTAATTAAAAAACAAATAAAAATGTGATTTAAGTGCTGAATATATCCGCACAGGCTGTCTTATCCCAGAAGACAGTACTATGTACAAAACTTACAGGTAGGAAAACCATGTGTTTGAAAATAAAGCAGGAAAAAAAAGGAAAAAAGGAAAAAAAAAAGGAAAAGAGGAAAAGAGGAAAAGAGGAAAAGAGGAAAAGAGGAAAA